CTTTTAATGTTATGGTGCGAAAATGAGCGAATTCGGGTTACAACCACGCCTCTTTCCCATATGACACCATTTTAAATTCCTCTTGATTCTTTCACTTTCCACTATGGAAATCAAGCAACAATGATTGTATCAGGGTAAAACTTTGCGTGAATAATGCGTTTAAAGTATGCTACCTAGTGACCAACAATTATCCAAATTGAACTGTTCAAGCCCCTAGGTACTGAAATTGTGGACCCCAGTAACTATAGTTGACTTTTTACCGTAAATATCGGTCAACAAGAACAAGGCGGCAAGATCCACAAAGAAATCTACAACGAATATACTATTTGACTTTGCGAGAGTATCAAATGTTCGGTTACATCCGAAATAAGCCCTTCCTTATTTGTTTATTTTTTTTCCGATCCCATGGTGAAATTTTTTTGGAAATACCAAAAGAAAAAATTTCCTGAAAGTTTGAGCTCTTAATATTAATATTAAGTACTAGACCAAGGCTTGTAAGGATTTTGAATCTGAAATACACGTAAAACTTGATTTTTTTTTCTTTTTAATTTTATTACTCAGTCGCATTTGATGGAATTACCTCACCCGTCATTAGGTATTTCTTAGAATTGAACGCTCTACAAAAGTCTCCATTGCGGTAAAGTTAAAACTTGCACCTACGGGGTAGTAACCCCCAAACCTAATTTTCCCGTGAAATTTAATAACAGCCATAACACGTTAACAGTTGGATGGTGCAATGTAACAATCTCGACTATCGTTGTTGTTGTATATACTTGTACTTTTACGGCTGGTTCGTGTTTACAACAGTTGTGAGTTAAATATGGCCACTGAATCTTGGAAAATTTGCTAAGCTGTAATCCTAACCGAAAATATTTCTAACGAAGCTGGAGAACCTATCTTCATTTGATTCCACAATTATATTCTCTTAACATAAACTAGTCTGACTGAGAAATATTACACTTAAAACCGCAAGCCAATTTGTATTTTCTTATTCGTTAAGACTCAACCTATTCCAGATTATTTCTTGTATCGGAGTATTGAATTGGAATTTTAAGAAGTTCGCCTAGTGGGAAATTTTGAAAAACATATTTTTTAATTTTTTTAATATTTTGATAGTCTGTACCTTTAAAAATACCAATTTTAAATGAATATTTCAAATACAATATTTTTTGCGTTACAGTTAAAAATCACTTGTAACTTAAAAAATATAAATTTTTTTTGGAAAATTTTTTACTGAGTATGCTTAAAATGTATATTAATTTACTCCTAGGATTTTAAAATAATTAATACTCCACAGGGGTGTTTTTATCCTAACTCCCAAAAATAGCCTTTTTTGCCTGCCACAGCTGATGTGAATCAAATCTCCAAACAGAATTGAATGAACAAGCATTTTAAAGACATTTCTACTATAATATTTAGTATTATTTATATAATTAGCAATTATATCTTAAATATTCTGAACAATATGTTATAAGTAAAAAGAAATTTTATTCACACTATTCTCTTTAAAACTGAAAAATCTTATTTTCCCAATCATATAAATTTAAATAAAATCTTGCCATAAATTCGATTTCATTCATTGCCAAAGTCAAGGCCAGAATAAGTTCTTACATAACCACTTGTTACATGTTTACATTTCATGGTTACTGATAGTAGTAGTAAACGAGTTGATATACTATAATAAATTATGGTGTCCGTTATTCCTGTCTGTTTTTCTTTATCCCTTATGTTAGTAACCAATTTTACCGACGTCTTTTAGCAACCGGGTACCGGGGTACCCACGATCTGAGTATTATTATTATTTTGTTTATTTTGTTAAAAAACATTTTTTAAATATCAAATATTAATAGTCAGTGACAATTTAAAGAGAAAACAAGTAAGGAAGGGCTAAGTTCGAATGTATCCGAACATTTTATACTCTCGCAAAGTCAAATGGTATACTCGTTTGAGATTTCTTTGTGGATTGACTGATATTTTCGGTAGAAGGTCAACTATAGGCACTGGGGTCCACATATTTAGTACTTAGGGGTTTGAACAGTTTTGGTTCGATTAAAACAATTTTTGGTCAAAAGGTGGCATACTTTAAACGCATTATTCACGCGTTTTACCCCGATATAATCATTGTTGCTTGATATGCATAGTGGAAAGTGAAAGAATCAAATGGTTGTAGTCCGATTTCGCCCATTTTCGCACTATGACATAGAAATATAAAAAGAACGTTATACACCGAATTTGGTTCGGTTAAGCAGATCCCAAGATATGGGTTTAACCTAAAAGTGGCCGGTGCCACGCTCACTATCTAATTTTGAACGCGGTTCCCATAAAGTCATCTCATACCAACCCATAGATAAAATTTAATGTCTCTGGCGTGTTTAGTGCTTGATTTATCGCGCTTTTAGAAGTTTTTAACAGTACCGTTATATGGGGAGTGGGCGGATTTGCCACCCGATTTCACCAATTTTCACACTGTAGCTTCTAAAAGCATTTGCTTTCAGTGAATTTTGTTATTATAGCATTAGCGGCTTAGGAGATATGCACATTAAACCTATTAGGGACGGACGGACGGACGGACAGACAGTCACCCGGATTTCAACTCGTCTCTTCATCCTGATCATTTATATATATATAACGCTATATCTAACTCGATTAGTTTTAGGTAATACAAACAACCGTTAGGTGAACAAAAAACTATTATACTCTGTAGCAACAGGTTGCGAGAGTATAAAAATAAAATAAAAAATTAACTCACAAATAGCTTTCTTTTAAGTTAAAAAACGACGATTTGAAAGCTTAAAATTAAATATTGAATTTTTTTAAAGTTATTCACACAAATACACCGCGGTGGGTACCCGGGTACCCGGTTACTAACATAAGGGTTATATGTACAATATTGTCCTTTAGTTTTTAAGATATTGATGTGAAACTTTGCACCTGTCTTTTTCTCACAAAGAAGCAGCTCATTTATCAGATATCGGAACACCATAGCATATAGCTGCCATGCAAACTGAAAAATCGAAATCAAGTGTTGTATGGAAAACTGTTTCATTTTACAAGATATCTTCATCAAATTTGGCATGTGCCGAGGCAATGGTGTGCATATCGAATCACTATAGCATATAGCTGCCGTGCAAATTGAACGATCGGAATCAAGTTTTGTAGGAACCTTTTGTATTTGTGAAGGATATTAAAATTTCAATGCAGTCAAAGCTAATATATTTTCTTGTTTGGTTTCGCAAACGCCTACATAGTTTTCTGTTTCGCTATAAAAATAACGGGTCCAGCGTAAAGCTGACTGTCTCATTTGAGCGAACATTTTTTTATTAGAAAATTAAATTTCTGAAGTTGTAAATTTACTTTCTTAATGAATAATATCAAAAATTTCTATATTATGTACATGGAAAAAAAATTTAGACACCATTTAAATTGACAAAAAAGAGCTCTCTTGCATTGGATTCTTTTTATTGCATAACCTGAAACTTCAAGAGCCGTTTGCAAATAAAAAAAGATAAACTTGGGGAAATAACGGAAACCTAATACTACATGCACATATATTCGTAACTGATGTATAATTGTGTATATATGTATATCTATTACAACCAGAATATATGAACATTTAATTTTTTTCATACAAATTTATGTGCATTATAATGTTAAAAGAAATATTTGCAGTAAGTACAAATCTTTCTAATACACATGTATAAATATTTGGTACATTTGTCTGCGGTCTGGACTTCTACATTGTACATGCAATGTTATGTCTCGGTACTCTTTAATACACACAAATCACATGTACTTACACACACATATAGACACGAGTCAGTCTGTCGTTCCACTTGTTTGGGCGTGCCTTGATTTTGTTTGTTCAACAGACTTGCCGACTGACCTGCTTATTCTGAATAAAAGTCTTCATTTATTTTTATTTTAACTGACTACTGACTTAAGACAATTTCACTTCGCTGAATTATATGTTTACCCTGAACATGGTATATTAAGTTTACCGCGAAGTTTGTAGCACACAAAGGGAAACGTCGGAGACGCACGAACGAATTCGATTCGATTTAGCTAAGCCCGTCTGCGCTGTAGTCATTTTTTGAAATAACGACCTGAAGTATTGCATGCCTCCTTTTCTCAAAAATACGCTGCTTATTTCTCGAACTCGCGAATGTTGGACCCCTATAGCATATAGCTGCCTTATAAACTAAACGATTGGAATCAAACGCTTGTATGGAATGCTTTGTCATTTGACGAGATATCGTTATGAAATTTTGCATGGACGGTTGCCTAAGACAATGATGGAATCTCCGAAGAAATTGTTCAGATAGAATCCCTATAGCATACATATAGCTGTCATATGGTACAAAATGAACGATCTGAATGAAGAGCTTGCATCGAAAAATTTTTCATTTGACAACATATCTTCACCAAATTTAGCGTAATTTATTGTCTAAGGCAAAAAAATTTCTTAGATCAGACCACTATAGCATATACTTGTAGCTACCATCTAAACCGAGTCAAACTCAAGGTATTAAGTTGAAGGGTATTATAGCTGCAGTGCAGCCGAAGTTAAAGTTTTTTTTGTATAGCCTTAAAGGATTGTAAGTAAGTTAAGACAATTTTTCTTAAATAATAAAAAATTGATAATAAGATGAGAGCGGCTGTGCATCCTTTTATACAAATTTTAGACTTGTATTCAAAATAAATTTTATAACTTCTCAGTTAAGGCAAATATTACCAATTAAAGGAGGAAATATTGATTCTAGTAGGTCTTAACATGTAAATTCATAGACTCAGAAACGAGATTTCTTTGATATGAAAGATAATACTGAAGTGGGAAGTAGATCGTATATCATTACTTTGTAAAAAAGTTAAATTTTCATATTCGTAAATACATATCTAATAATTATAATCACTTATATACTCTAACACTTCTTCTATTACATTAATTGATTTAAAATCCACTTTATACCGGTGTGCTTGTGACAACATATGGCACCTCAACTAAGCTGTTGCTCTTATAATGTTTGATGACGTTGCGCAATTTCTGCCGCTATGCTTTTGGTTACATTGACGTCGGTACGACATTGTCATGACTGACTGGATTCAATTTATACAAAAATACAAAATCATGAAGATTTGCTCGAGGATATTCGGGTTGATGCATCTGTGAATCTATTACCTAAGAAAGGTAAGTATAAAAAAAAATGTATGATGACTAAGAGCAAAAACTGCATTAAAAGTTTAAGCCATAATCTTTATTGTTATGCAATTCTATTTAAATTATATGCCAATTCAGCGAGCAGCTTAAGATGCACTGGAAAAAATAAAATGTACACGTAACACAGCTGTGAATAGAGAAGTAGAGCAGAAGATAAATTAAGAGAGAAAATAAAATAAAACAAACAAAATATTAAACAAATCACTGTATAAATATCAAGTATAATTATTAAATTGAAGATTTTCGTAAAATAAAAACACAAAAGTTCACACCCATAAAATTACAGCTTGAAGTGTTGCCACCTTTTTATAAAATGTGATGCAAACACACAAACATATACACACACTAGGCATATATCAAATATCAACGGAACCACATACATATACAAGTATTTACAAGATCAAAGCAAATCACTTGAAATATGCTAATATTGATAAATAAGTACTTATATAACTTAACACGTCCACTTATTAACTTTGGAACCTACATATATGTATGTGTGTGCACGTATCAAGAGTTTCTTGACGTCATAGCCATAACAACAAAACAGAAGAATATCATAGCATATAGACTTGAATCGGGAAGCTCGAGTAGCTCATTTTGATGTTGTTAGTAAATTTCTTGTTTATGATGACAACCAAAAAACTGATTTCAAGTAGTCATTTAGTTTGCAGAAAACGAAATTGTGCTTAATCTAGGTTGGTTAAGGTGTGTGTCTTATATATGACTATTTCTCTAATCACGGTTTCTAGATATATTACTAATATATTTAGCGCAAACACGCCTTGCTAGTTTTTTCTAGCCAAGTTTTTTATACAAACAACGTCTTAGTCGAATTAAGGTTTCTTAATAAGGAAATGATCTTAAACGATCAGTCTGTCAAATGAGTAGCTGCGTGAGGAGCAAAGGACCCTATCTGAGGGACTAGTTCGCGTATATACAGACTGGTGGACAGTCAGCGCTGATCACTTATATACATATATATTTATAACTTATTATAAGATGTTTACAGCAACCCCGAGAGGGGGCTGGGAGTGATACCCATGGTTATATGCGATTCATTTGAACATTTATTTAAACGTTGTAATTACCGATAAAGCGAGTTCTTTTATGTATGTACAAAGATAAGTAATAAGATAGCTAATTAGCACAAACTGGCAAAGTAATGTAATAAGAGAGCATAAGAGCCGCCAAATTTACCCATTACATTTGTCAGCGCGTTTTCTTAGCGTTAAGGTACTTTCACATGTACGCAATAGGAAAATATATCGTATAACTTACTTCTAAGTTCTAACTATATGAAGATTGGAGGATTTTAAACTGAAAAAAAAAGTTTGATCTCTTTAAATAAACTGATTTATAAATTATTTTTTTTCAAAATCGTACGAATCAAATTTGTTTCAACCATCACCAACAAGAGAGCAAATTAAATACAAATGTGATAAGAGGATAAAACAATATGACGTATTCAACTTTTTCTTCAAAAGCATTGCAGTAGTAAGTGGGACGATAGTTAATAAAATCTATAAAGTAATAATAGCATTCCTGTAGGGCACCACATTTTACCCCTGGGCCCGACTTTTCTATGGGCGGCGAGTGAATATTCGTATTAATGTTGTATATTATACAGCATATGCGCATACGAACATATATGTGTTTGTGTCAGCAGCAGCTAATCGCATATAAATGACTGAACCCACTCTTGTCGCACGTCTTTGCGTTTAAATCGCTTTTTACTCTTATTATCAATCCTTTCACCTCCAGCATCGGTTTACAAAATCTCGTAGTACTGAGTACTCAGGTTTTTCGATTGAATGCTGTGTACTGTCATTGAAAATATTATATAAAGGTATATATGCTTGTGTACTAAGTAACATGCGTATACGCAGATTATTATTCACTTGTGTTGACAAATGCGTACTCATGTGTCTGTGGCGTTTTCATCACGTGAACACACAAAAGTATAAGAGAGTGTATGGAAACATCTCTGCCCTTACCGACTCATTGGCGTTCATAGTTCTTAGCTCCATTGGCAAAAAGTTTATGTAGTAGAAAACTTAGAAGGCATTAAAGATATATACTTGGTTCGGAGTTAAGTTTAATTTAAATAGTGAGTAAATATAAGTCAGTTACAATCAGATTCTTCCCAAAATAATATCTAATAAAAATCTTTAAAGAACGAAACGGAAAAACTATGCTTTCAAGTAAAAAAATATATTATATTCTTTTCTATCTACAGATTTACTAAAATTCGGTGAACATTTACAAAATGCCACAGTATCGGTAGGGCGAGAGGCGGTGCAATGTGTTGTCGATAATCTGCAAAACTACAAAGTAAGTATATACAAAGAGAAGTATGAACTTATATGCGTGAAGTGGAAAATTGTGAGATTTATTTTGTAAAAACTGACGATCAATTGTTCAAACAAAGAGCCATAAACCAATTATTTTTAATAAGTTAAATAAATGTATATAAAACAGTCAGAGTAAAGAACAAGTAACCCCCAAATTACTAAAGGTTTATCGACACGTCAAATGTATTGCACAAATTAAACATTCATGTGTTTACCCACACTCTTCACAAAGGACATTCACGCACATTGAAAAAGAACTCGCTGCCAGTTGAGCGCACTCAACCATTTTACAAGTAAATTGCTATGCGTCAAGACTATATATGCTCAAATTTTGCCAACACTGTATGCATCTGCACACATACCTAGGTATGCTTGAAGTGTTGACGTGCTTGCCTTTGACCACTTTTTACGTTCATATTTTCCGCATACATTTCCATGGATAATCCCATTAATTTTTGCTTTCCTATCCAATGTTTAAAGTGAAAATCCTTACCGTTAGATATACAAATGGTTATATATATATAATATTAAAATCCAATACTCAATTTAGATTTCATAGATTTTTTCTTCGGGTGATCAATAAAACCGATCACCTTTTTCAAGATCACCTTTGGTTATGGGGGTTATTTTGTTTGATGAAACATTGTTTACAATTTTTTGGAATAGTTTTTGTGTGGTGTCCTATGGAAGATGGTAGATCGAAAACAGCATTTTCAACAAATTTTATTGTAAAAAAATATTTTGTATTACTATCAAAAGGGTAAATATACAGATCAAGCAACGCGAAAATTATGGATGTGTAAGGAGAAGTTGTCCAAACGACAATACTAAAATTGTTTTGCAAAATTTCGTTCAGGCAATTTCGATGTTGAGAATGCACCATGTCCTGGAAGGCATTTTAAAGCCGATGTGGATAAAATAAAGTCGTTCGTCGATGCAAAGCGTCAAAAATCAATTTCGAAATTGACGTCATTCTTATTTATTTATTTATAGTTTTTTTTCACGTACAAAAAGATTATTTCTAAAAAGAAATTTCTTCCAGCACACCTAGTAAAATACTAGCTGCCCGCCCCGGCTTCGCCCGTGGTACTTACATGTATTATACATATAAACCTTCTTTAAGAATCAGTCTATCTATTTAAAAAAAACCGCATCAAAATCCGTTGCGTAGTTTTAAAGATCTAAGCATACTAATAAACACAATACTTAAATAATAACTACAACATTACATAATTAATAAAAGTACATATTAATACTATACTTATACTTAAATACATGTCTCATACTAAGGAAAGATAATGTTCTTGTGATATTTTGCAAGTATTTAATGGTATTAATTATTGAACTCATTATTTATTTATTTATTTATTAAAAGGTCAAGGCATGTCTACAATATTTTTTTGAACTATAAATAATATCGTACCTATGAAAATAGTTTGTATGCGACACTGTGTTTATTAAACGAAGATTGGCGGCGACTCGGAGAATAAAAGAAATCGGCGCTGTTTAAACAAAGTCGGCTTCCTTTGTCTTTGGCGCGCACCGCCACCCCTGCTGCTTACATCAAATCTGGAAGCAGCGCCTCCTTTAAAAGAGGACGCCAGCTTCTGTCCTCTTTACCTTCAGTTAGCACTGAAAGTGGATGTACCTCTTGGACATTTTAAGAAACTTCCATATGACTTCTACTGTCCTACGTTACAAGGCGAGCTAATAGAAAGATGCTGTTCGAAATGTGGTACTTACTTTGCTTCAAAAACCTCCATGAAGGAGCACAAAAAAAATATGAAAGTTTATGTACACGGTTCCCCGGATCAGGTATTGTTTTACATAGGTACAAAAAAGTAATTTTAGCGATAAAGTGCTTATAGTCTTTTTTTGTTTCAGTGTTTAATGGAACAGGAAACTGGAGGTCCTGCGGCCCCTCGTCGTAGTGCTCGAATCTTGGGACGGCGAGGAATAGAAGTCCTTCAACAGTTGCATGACGGCGTAACGGGACAGGCACTTGACGTTGAGTGGGTTGAAGACGTGGATGAATCGAGCCAAAACGAATATCGGGAGGATACGGAGATATTACCCGTGATCCAGAATTTAAAAGAATGGGTGAAAACTCCGTGGGAGTTATCCAAAGAAAAGTAAAAAATAAGTAGTTATATTATATCAATGATTATTGCCAAAGTATAATAATAAAAGGTGATTCTATAACCAAGTGTTTTAATCATATAATACCCTATTTTTCTCAAATCTGCAATGTTTTATTTTGTCAAACTAGTAATGACGTCAATTTTGGGAGAAGGGGGGTCATTAAGAAATGACGATAGGATGATTATAGGGGGGGGGGTCTAAAATCTGAAAAAATCGATGATGTAATTTATGGACGCCCCCTACCACGGGCCATGACAAACAAGTGCGAAATTTCAAACCGATATCTCAGAAACTGAGAGACAACCACATCTTCCTGTGCAACAAATTGGTAAACATTCTTACGATCTTGACTCTTCCTTATATAGAGAACAGTTTCCAGTTATAATACGTATAATAAGATTTAATTTTTTCATACTTCAAATAGACAACAAAACTGTGAGATACCTACTTGGATTAACCACTGATTTCAGAGAATGATAGAAGTACTTGTGCGTGTCGCGTTTTCGTATGCGAAGGTTGGGTTTTTAGACATTAAATATAGAGTGTAATAATGAAATACATTTGTGGTTTTTAAAAATGAAAATAGAAAGTGCAATGATACCAACAACAGACTGAGTGATATTTAAACACAATTGATTAAATTTATTGATTGGAAATGCGAACAATAAAAATTTACACATCTAAGTCCAAAATCGTATGTGTCAGCTTGTCGCTTGACCACATAGCAAATTTCACGTTGACAGCAGTGATATTTGGACAGTTTTTCATTCCATTGACATTTGTCCACCAATGAAAGGAACATCAACAATGATGAAATAATTTTAATTGTCTTAATGGTTCGTATTAAATTCCACATAAATCTGAGATGAATCAATATAAAAACCACGAATGACATTAACAAAATGATTTTGAATTTTTATTTGAATGACGTAAGTCCGGCAAGCATAACCGGATTCCAATCGCATAGCAATTAGTTCTCATATATGGTATTGTGAAATGAAAAAATATTTGTAAACATAGTTGAAGAATACCTATGAGTACTGAAAATAATTTTAGCAGAATTCATATAATTTCAACAAAACAAAATACCAAAGTCATCTAATATATTATATAAAATTCTCGTCTCACGGTGTTTTATGCCAAACTGAACCGATTTTGGTGAAATTTGGTGTGCATATACCGTAGCTCTGAGAATCGGACAACATCTCTTTTTCGTACTCCTAAATGTCCTTTTTCTATTATTTTGAACAAAAACATTTTTTTTTCCACGATTCAGGATTGATAAATACCAGGTGTACCGGTATGAAATGAAAAAATTAATCCTTTTTTGTGAAATACTAATTTTGAATGGGAAAGTAAAATTATATGTATTCAAAGTATTGGACATTGCTTTTTGCACATTTGACCACCTATCTGGAAATTTGTGAATACTATTGGCATTGTTGTTGCAAATGTTCGTTTTTTGAAGCAAACTAATCAGACCCCCAATTTTTGACATCTGTTGGTTGTCTCGGATTAACCTATGATTTTCTCCGTTTAGAATTCTAAAAATAAATCCTTTTTTTATCGCCAGTGACACTTCGATTTCATAAGTGTTTTTTCGGTTTTCCAGTTGCTTTTCATTCAATTCATATGGCACTTTTGTATCTTTCCCATAGCTTTCAAACAGTATGGAATTGTTAGTTGTCCAACATTTAACATAGCTGTCATTTGCTTGTTACTCAAAGTATTATCTTCATCCAACATTGCTTGCAGTGTCTTCAATCTTTTTTGGTGATCTTCCACGTTCTTCATTTCTCACATCAAATTCATTACTTCTGCATCGTTGAAACAATATTTTCTCTGCAGCACCTTTCTTAAAATGAAACAAAATTATTGCTTTCCGCATACCATCACTGTCCGGTACAAAATATGACAGTTTCAAGAGGATGAAAATATGTGATGTTGTTTGTTTAAGGACTGTACGCTTATTGAATATGTTTGACAAATGTCATACCAAACAAAACAAAAAATAATAATTAAGGTTCGTTTACACCAAATGTTCCCTAATAACACATCTCTATTTTAACGATCACTTTATACCGGTACACCTGGTACATACAATTCTAAATTATCACCCTTATACGATAAACCCCTGATTTTTAATATTGTTGTTCTAACCACACATCCACAAGATAGCAATATCATATAATAATTGTAGTATACTCTTCGGAGCATGCATCCTCTTGCGAAAAAAATGTTTAATCTATAATGTCAAAACCTTTTTTTGTTTTTATCATGATTTTCTGCTTAGATTTTGATGATTTTGTATGATTTACAATCTATTCGTATTCAGTAATCACTAAAAAAAATACATTTTCATTGGTTGAGATATTTGAAAAAGATTTTGATGGTCTCACAATCGAGATGATAATATATAGGTTTAGGAAAAATACAAAACAAATGTTTGGTTTTTATTAAGAAAGAAAGCGATATATTGTCCACTTATAAAATTTAAATATTTGCCAACGTGAACATTGCCACAAAATCCGATGAAATCATTAAGCAGTTTATTTCAAAAATATGTATGTATGTATGCACGAGTATGTGTCACGAATTAAAAGCACACAATTAAAATTTCCACAGCAAAATTGTTTTAAGCTCATTTTATTATGCAGAAAATTGCGCGCCGTTCAGTGATTTTCGCATTCAAACAATGCCACTGGAAGGAACACCAACAATGATGAAATTATTTTAACTGCCTTAATGGTTCGTATTGTATTCCACATAAATCTGAGATAAATCAATATGAAAACCACAAATGCCATTGGCAAAATGATTTTGAACTTTTATTTGAATACAGCTTTATGACGTAAAAGCGGCAAGCATGCCCGAGCCACAATTGCATAGCAATTAGTTTTCATGGCTGAATATTTCTATGAATATTGAATAAAGTTTCAGCAGTTCCCCAAAATAAGATTTTTGTACCACCAAGAATGTCGTAACTCAAAAAATATTTGAAATATTCATTGAAAATATTGGTATGTAGTTAAATTATAGCCTATCGTAATTTGCACACAATATGATTCACACTAGTGCCTTGTTTACCGAGAGAATTCTTCCAACAAATTAATACAAAATATTTAATAGCTTTGGTTTCGTTAAAAATTCTCGATATTTGGGTCACTGAAATGCATTTTTGTTTAGAAAGCGTTAGAAAATAATTTAGAGCGAAGTAAGGAATTTGAATCTTCATTGGAATACTTGTAGTCTCAGAAGTCATTACCTTTAGATGCGATTTTTTTTCGATAAGACAATATAATATCTCTGATTTACCAGGTGGAGCCCTATGTCTACTTAGATGTATCTAAAAAATATGAATACTAAATAGAAAATTATAATTTTTTTCCAGATAAGCTATGCATATAGGTATGTATGTACCGCAATTGACATTTTGCATTTTTACGGCTATGGGGCGCTCTTCAGTTTTAATTTTTTTTTTTCGCTTTTGTATTTTTATTACTTTCCAGCAGTTATGTGCCCACATAGCGATACATAAACATACACAAGAGCACAAAGCCAATTCATATCCAACACTGTCTACGAAATTGCCTTAATCTAACACTTTTCACACTTGCTCACAAATGTACCTTTGCTTTCTATATGAAATCTCTGATGGCATTCTCTAAACATTGCTTTCTCTCTCTCTCCCTGCTTTCCAACAATTCACTTATTTTGTTACTATAAGAAATGCATCTGTGATTATATAGCTTTGGGGCAGCCGAAGTCAACGATTTTCATGTTTTTATTTGCGCTTGCGTAGAAATTAAAATTTAAAATTTATTTCTCGCTAGCAAAAAGCAAAAATCCACAGGCAAGAGTTCTCTATTTTGCTGACGAGAAGTTGTTGTATGTACAACTGAAATAAAAATAACAAGTATGTGGCAACTTGCTGTCTACTAACGGCACGTTGTTTTATGCATTTAAATTCACTTGGTCTGTTGAACTTTTCCGGTACACTCCGGGTAACTATCAAAGTGAGCGCAACAATAATGCAGCGGCAACTTTGTAAAGACGCAAAGTAGAACTACTGTAATCAGAACTTCTAAGTTGGCAGAGCACCTTGACACCAATACGTTTCATCACCATTCCCGCCAGTTCACAGGGATGTCTGAAAGTGTCAGCTCCCAAATGTCTAAGCATTTATCTCGCACAAGTAGTTGAGATATTTCTACCTTGTAATCTCCTAAACAGCTACAACAACTGGCATGTGGTAAGAATTTCAACCTTAACGCATGGATACCGAGAGTACCGTGATCAGTTAGAACCCCTACAACTTGGTAAATGATAGCCTTACGAGTTGAGTGAGGAGGGCATTAAATATCTTGCGATCCACTTTAAGCTAAAATAATTTTACCACAGTACAAAACTAATGGTAGCCAATCGCTGACCAAGCTCCCGCGAAGTCCAACAGGCTAAACTTCTTGCTCATTACCTTTGCAATTTTCTGCAAATTCGCTGTGGTCTAGTACATACATTAGACTTATTTAAAGGGATCTTATTTTGAAACATTTTTAGTAAAAGTAGATTTTGGAGATCAATTTAATTGAAAGTATGCCTCAACCATTCTGTTTTCGTTAGATATAATTAATAATATTTTATGTCGGTTGTTTCTTCCTACAGTTCCTTCAATGATTTGGATACAAAATCATATTGTTGGTGCTGCCACCGGCCAAAATATAGCACTTGAATATCTGTCAGAGGCGCATCCGAAATATATCAATTACTAGACGAAAAATGACACGATCACTGTGTCTGGTAAGAAAAAAAAACAGAATATAGTTGTTTAATTTTATCAAATTTATAAATGAGTAAAATCTGCAATAATAATATTATGCACTCTTTGAACTTCAGAGGATTGGTTTAATCCTTTTTGATCCTGAACTAACTTATGGTCGTATTTTGGTTCAGAACCCCAAATTAGAAAATTTTTTGGCAGCTAATTAAAAAAATCGGAAACTGGCCGAGTTGACACCACCCTAAAGCGGCAAAAAACTTTGAAACTACTATGAATTTTTGAAAATATGTACTTAAAAGAGAATATTTTTAAATTTCTAAACTTTCAAAATATTGTATAAAAAAATTTAAACTCCCTTAAATTCCACTATTTGTCCTGAACGCAAAATCATTTTATCTCGTATAAAACCAAAACTAACGTCATTCAATACAGTTTGATTTAACATTAAATACGATTGTAACAAATATTCAGTAATCTACTTAGAAGCGAAGAGTGCAACGGACGTTTAATTGACGTTATATCAGCCATTTTTAACCGCATTCAGACATATGGACAACAGCACGTATTATATCCCAAAAGATAGTCATTGCAATAAAAGCGAATAAATACTCGGACTAACAGACAGTGAAAGTATATGGAAAAATGGATAAAAGTAATCAAACAGTGACGCCCAAAATCAATAAGAAGTGTACGAGCACTGTAAAGTAAAATAATTGCAATGAAAATAAACCAAGCAAAAGGAGAACCTTACCTTATATTGCAATCTTCCAACTTTTTGATAAAAATCATACAATAAACGGTATAGATATTGTTTGACAATACGTCTCAGTTTAGACTCTCGAGGAGTAAGCAATTCGAAACTCAGTTCAGAAAGCTTTAAGATACCATACAGATTTCCATATAATTCTAGAATCACCTCTGTTAAAAAATATACGAATTCTATTTTCTACACTCCGTAAAAATTGTAAAGCAAACACTAGATCCCAATTCAGATTTGTAGAAGCGACTTTCAATTATTAGCTTTAAATTATATGTGTGTAATGCTTATATATATATGGACAGAACTTGAATTAGATTAGATAAAAATTTGAGGAAAGAACTGTGACCTATAGTTTATTTTGCCCTCTCCTGTTATTACAACACTTCGTTTAATCCAGTCAAATCACACCGCAGCCTGCAGTGATCTGTATAAAATCCCACAAGCTGCCTTAATTGGTTTCTGGAACAGGGCTTGAATAAAATTAAGTTTGCACTTCGCCAACAATAAGAATAAGTGTGCGCCTAAGTCTGCATATGGGTATGTACTATGTTAAGATTCGCACAGACTATTGCAAACAGATCCTGTCACACGACTACCAGCTTCCTGTTTTACTACAGTATTTACCAAATAGAAAGTAATTATGTATGTTTAGTAGGGCTAGCCAACAAAACATAGCTATTAAATTAATGGTAAATTAATGGGTAAAACTCTATACAGAGATAAAAAAATATCGCTCAAAGCAGGATTTTTAATGCATTTTAAAAAGTGTCGGTGAGCATTAAACGTTTACAACAAGTAAAATCCTTAAAAATAACATTTGAACTGCTTAAAATAAAATTTTTATATCGTGAATCTTTGTAGAATAATTTTTGCGCCACTCTATCGTATGTGCATGTATATATATATTTTGTGGTGACTTTGGAGTGACACACATGCACGCAAATAAATTAAAATTTCAAACTTCATTAAGTTCAGACGGAACGAAATCAGAATTTTTAATTTTGAAGTATATTTGTTCAACACAGTTCCAAATTTTTACTATTTATTTATGAAGCCTTTCCTGAAGTTGTGAATTTTTTAAGTAAATTTGTTTTTTTTAATTGCGAGATTTATCGCTCCTATAGCACCCATGTTGAAAAAAGATAGGCACACGGCGTCAAAACAAATTGCATATTACCGGATTTAGGATATTTGAAAATTCAATTTTTAAATGCTTTAAAACATTAACATACAAACTTTCATGATTTTTTGCGACTACTATTTTATGAAAAAAAGGTTTAGTTTTCTTAAAGAATCCTAGTTCGGGCAAAAGTTACATATGTGATGAATATACTGTTAAAATTTTAAAGCAATCGAGGGAACCATTTTTGAGAATTCGTAAACGCTAGTTTATAAAATGTAGTTTCGAGAAAAACACGTTTGAAAATTCCGGTGTGTAGGGGACGCCCTCTAAAGACCTTACTTTCTCACTCCTGGTACTTTCCAGCTACATTCAATTTCGGGAGATTACTTTAACAGCACATTCTAGGAAGGATTGGAATTATGCAAAAAAAAAATCGATCTTTTGAAACCGTCACACGGGACGACCCCCTTAAATATTAGTAACCTACTTTAAAAACTGTTTTAAATATGAATTCGAGTTAATTTGAATAAGTGTACTGTGAAAAAAATTAGTAAAATTACTTCGATATCCCTTGTAGTAGTTGCTCATAAAGGCTGCGTATTCGGGTAATTTTTGGACTAGCTAATAAATCTTACTTTGCTTTATAAAAGTTTTTCTTACTCCAGCATAAATTTTTCATACCTCAACCGTTCAATATAACTTTATCTTATAAAATATATTTAATATGTTATTAAATAATTGTTTCGTTTGCGCACTCACCTTTTTGCACTTTAAATCACCAATATGTATATTAAAAAGAAACTAGCTGGTTCGATTTTTTTTTTTAAATTTATCCCAACTGACAAAAAAAACTACACTCTCACGTTTCTAATATAAATCTTTATTATACCCTGATCAGCATGATGAGCTGAGTTGATTTAGCCATGTCCGTCTGTCCGTCCGTCCTTCTGTATATATGCAAACTAGTCCCTCAGTTTTTAAGCTATCTATCTGAAATCTTGTACCTGCCCTTTTCTCACTAAGAAGCTGCTCATTTGTCGGAACGACCGATATCGGACCACTATAGCATATAGTTCCCATACAAACTGAATAATCGGAAGAAAGTCCCTTATGATAAACTTTTTTATTTGACGTAATATCTTCACGAAATTGGGCATGAGTTATTTTCTAAGGTAACAATGTAATTCCCGAAGAAATTGTATAGATCGGATGACTATAGCATATAGCTGCTATACAGACTGAACGATCGGAATAAAGTGATTGTATGGTGTATAATGTTCAAAACATCTTCAGACAAACCTTTCGCATCATAAATAAATAGCATACCAAACTTCACACGGACATAAAAAAGGCTGTACCAATCTGAATAACTTACCGATTTTGTTTGCGCGCGTAGTTCAGATACACCAGATCGGGTCAAAACCAAGCTTCTGAAAAAAACGTTTATTTAATTAAGACTGTCCAACGTAAACGCTGCAATTAATTTATTAACGAATACGTAAATGATAGCTCTTGTAGGTTGAGCGTTCAATTACTGAAAAAAAAGTAATTTATTTTATACGAACAAGTAATTAACATTTTAAATACACAAGGTTTCTGGGGTGAAAAATTCCTTTGCTGGATCCGAAATATTTTAAGGAAGCTAACATATTACTGCTTGTGATATTGCGAACATAAACATGAACGAATATTGAACAGAACTTCCTAAAATCTTGGGTCCAGCCAATCCATCCTGAGAAGGTTTACCTTGTTATGATCTATACGTAAGCGGCAGACAAATAAACTGGCCAATAACTTAGCTTTGGTCACAAGATTGCATACTTTTACCCCGAATCAAACATTTTTGCTTGATTTTCATAGTGGAAAGTGAAAGAATCAGATGGAATTTAAAATGGTGTTATATAGGCAATAGGCGTGGTTGTAATCCGATTTCGCTCATTTTCGCACTATAACATAGAAATATGAAAGCAATGTTGTGTACCGAATTTGGTTGAAATCGGTTAAACAGATCCCAAGATATGGGGTTTATCTAACAGTGTGTGGTGCCACGCCCACTAACTAGTGGGTTCTTATAAAGTCGTCTCATACTATTCCAAAGATAAAATTTAAGGTTTCTGGCGAGTTTAATGCTTGATTGATCACGATTTCAGTAGTTTTTAACAGTACCGTTATACTTGTATGGAGAGTGGGCGGGGTTGTCACCCGATTTCATCCATTTTCACACTGTTGATAGAAGTGCTAAATATTTTTGTTCTTAGTGAAATTTGTTATTATAGTTTTATTGGCTTAGGAGATTTGCGCATTATACCTAATATTGGGCGAGACCACACCCATTTGTTTTTTAAATTTAAACTGCAGATGCCACTCCCTAATGTGACAGTCGGATAGACAGTCGCCTGGATTTCATCTCGTCTTTTCATCCTGATCATTTATATATATATAACCCTATATCTAACTCGATTAGTTTAAGGTGATACAAACAACCGTTAGGTGAACAAAACTATTATACTCTGTAGCAACATGTTGCAAGATTATAATTACTAAATACATCAGAGACATTAAATTTTACATCCATGATGGTACAACGTACATAACTCCGGAACTGTAGGTAGTAACACTTTCAACCAAATTTGGTATATAACATTTCCCAGATGATCCTATACTACAGGGCGAAAATAGGCAAAATCGGACTGCGACCACGCCTATTTCCCATATACCACAATTTTAAATTCCATATGATTCTTTCACTTTTCACTATACAAATCAATAAGCAAAGAATATAACAGGATGAAACCATGCACGAATAGTACTCTTGTAGTGTGCCATCTTACGACCAAAAATTGTCCAAATTGAAATAAATCTGTTCAATCTCCTAGGTACCGAATATGAGGACCCCAGTGCGTATAGTTGACATTTTACCGAAAATATCGGTCAATGTGTGAGGTATATAATTGAAATTTGGAGAGATTCTTTACCTAATAGTAGTGTCGCTGTGTGTGAAAATTTCCCTTAGCCCCCATATAAATAATAAAAATATTTTCGAACTTTCGGTTTATTTCATACCGCATTTATCGGCCAATATGTGAGCTATCTTAGTAAAAGTAAGTGGATATATTTTCCTTATAATGGTGAATTTTGCTGCCTAAAATTAATAAAATCGGGTGAAAACATGCCCTGTTAATGATGGTATGTGAGATACCTTAGTGAATCTAAGGGAGCATTTTATTCTGTTAATAGTATATGGTATTGCCAAAAATAGACAAAAATAGACAAAAACAAATAAACTTCTATAATAAGCTCCTCAATAAGATACAAGACTGTTAATTGGTATTCAGGATCACATTGGGAAAGGGCACCTGCAGTTAAATTTTTTTAAAGTGAGTGTGACCCCGCCCCCTAAATAATTTAATGTGCACATCTCCTACACCTCTAAAGCTATAACAACAAAATTCATTGAGAACAAATGTTTTAGTACCTCTATCAACAGTGTGAAAATGGGTGAAAACTACTAAAAGCGCGATAAATCAAGCACTAAAGACGCCAGAGACATTCAATTTTATCTCTGGGATGGCCAAAATTAGACAGTTTCCGATGCCATATGAACCCCATATCTTGGGATCTGCTTAACCGATTTCAACCAAATTCGGTACGTAACATTCTTCTCTTATTTCTATGTTATAGTGCGAAAATAGGTGAAATTAGATCACAACCTTGCCTATTTCCTATATAACACCATATCAAATTCCATCTGATTCTTTCACCTTTCACTATGTATTGAGACAAAACTTTGCGTGAATAATGCGTTTAAAGAATGCAACTTTGTAATCAAAAATTGTCTAAATCGAACCAAAACTATTTAAGCCCCTGGGTACTGATTATATGGACCCCAATGCCCACAGTTGACTTTTTACCGAAAATATGTCAATGTGTAAGATATATAATTAAAATTCATATAATAAAATAAATAAATGAAACTCTCGGTAATAGTATGCTTTTGTATCAAACATGGATTGAATCTGATCAATACTTCCTATAGCCCTCATATTCCTAATATAAAGATTTTTGAACTTCCGGGTGACTTTATACCGCATATATCGGCCAATATGTGAGTTATCTGAAAATGAGAGAGCGTGTTTTACTCATAACAATGTATCTTTGTGCCTAAAATAGATCAAATCGGGTGAAAATTTTACCTAGCCCCCATGTAACTAATATCAGGATTTTCGAATATTCGTCTGACTTTACTCGATATGATTAGTGATAGTATGTTAGTAGTATGTGGTATTGGCAGAAATTGATAAAATCGGATTAATACTACCCTCGACTTTTATATACTGCTTATAATGCATTTCGTTATTCTAACCAGTTTTATGCCGAATATGTCGGTCAGTCAGTATTAATATTTTTGTTCTCAAACGAGTATACCATTTGACTTTACGAGAGTATAAAATGTTCGGTTGCACCCGAACTTAGCCCTTTCTTACTTGTTTTTATATATTTTTTAAGATTAAACAACAAAACTTTTTGAAATCTGGTTACATAACTCATGTAATTCTTACTTTCGATTTAATACTGAAAGTATCTTCTATGTTTGCACTTAAATTTATATAAAAAAATTTTAATTCCCTACGCTTTACTTCTTTTTCCTTTACTTGCCTTTCTACTACATATCCCTATGTTTCATTGCAGACATTTTAGAAACAACGACAGTATCCACAATAGTACCGACGGTGGCTCTAAATACCGTGCCAGTGGTGGTTGCGAAATAAAACAACAAAGGTGTGTATAAATGCAGAACAAACAAATACTTAAACACAATTATTTCTCAACATTTAAATTGAGTTTATTGCTCCTAAACACCTTGAATGCTCTCCTCCTCACAACAAGTCATATATACCGTTATGTCCATAGCATTCAATTCAGTTCAATTCAATTCAATTCAAAAGTTCTTATTTATTGTGCAGGTTGTAATTATATCGAAAATATTCAATACATTTTTTCTACGCAGTTTTCTGTCACTGAATCCACGATTACGGCAACCTACGCGAATGACAATGCATTGCTGCTGCCGAGCGACAACATACTGCCACCTCCAGGAAAATACAGATGCTATTGACCGCCACTGTTCTAGTCTCACCAAATGGAACATTGGCATCAATATCTCTTATGATCAGTTGTTACCAACAAACACAAGTTCAGAATATCTGCGGATACGATCGACAGGAACTAGCAAGGGTTACAGTTTACGCAACTGTACTGGTTGCTAAGGTCAATATCCCGCATCAGTTGGAATACAATTTTAAAATGATTAAGGTCTTTCAAAAAAGAGTACTTCACGCCAGAATAATTGCATTGCTTTATGTGAAAAATGACGTCGTCATAGCGATTAACAGGTGCCCACTGAACTGAAAACAATTGAAGAACTTGGTAGTTGTTACCTCTGTAGCTTAGAGATCTATGAAAATGTACTTGCGACAGCGTAGACTTTCCAAACAATTTTGACAATGAAAGTGCATGTATTCAATGTTTTTAGTTTCAATGTTTTTGCACACGATTTGCATTTTCCAAAAGCACCACACTTTTAACTATGGCAATAAAGGATTATGCCTCTATTGATGTGTAAGCGCTTAGTCTCGGGTGTCGGGTACTTGCTCTCTTTAATAATCGTGCCGCACTCAACCTACAAACTCCCCAGCACAGGATGTCAGCTACAACTGTGCTTGTGAAAATCGATCACAACGCAAAGAGGAAGGAAAAAGCACAGGAAATGCATTTGCATGCGGGTAATTGCAGGCGACGCTCAGAGAATTAGACAGTCAGACAGACCGGAAAGCAGCAATACGCATACAGTTAGATAGAGCACGCAAATGTGAATTATAGATTTCCATTCGAAAAAGCAAAATTATATAAGCTGAGAATATGTATGTCAACTTGCCCAGATTGCCTTTTGTCTAAGTGAAAGGATGTGTTTTTGTAACTGTCTTCAGTTGTACGAGTATATGCCTGATCAGATGATGAGGAAGTCTTGGCTGTAAGTCTAAGCAGCCACTTCTAATGCAAGCTGGTGTAAAAATAGAAAAGTTACCAATATTAAAATTTTGAAGGATTTTTCTTACATTGAATCGTGAAAAAATAAAGCTTCGACTGATAAGAAGACATATGCATTTTCAAATATTCATTTCCAATTTATGTGCTTGCTTCTTTATTAGCTTACAAACTGTCCGATCAAGAATTTGTTGTCTTTTCATTAAGTATTAGCATTAAGTTAATTTTTGGTAACTATTGTATTTTTTGCTGGATTAGATTGCAATTTGATGAGAATAGTTTGAGAGCTTTGACTATTGCAGCATAACCACACTTCCTAAGCAATGCGGCAGACAATGAACCGCTATCGCGCTTAGTCACACCTGAGCACCGACCGCCAGCCTTAAGAAATGAGCCCTTATTGGCATTTATTTTAGTTTTTTCACTTTACTGGCAACAAGTTTTAATTTAAATCTTTGATATAAAGAATGAGAATTTTTGTTGCTTATTCTGAATAAGAATATGGACTGTTTTTATACATAAATAGTTTTGTTGATATAAATATAAAAACTTCAGCTCAAGAGTACGATACTTCCGCCATGTGTTAAAAAAACTAACGGGAATTTTCGCTTTTTGAAACAAATATTTACTCATTCCTCTACAATAATTTTATCGCCTCCAATATATTTTCCATTTGCTATTATGCACTTATGCCAGCGCTTCTTCCAATCATCAAAATACTTTTCCAACTCGATTATTGGGGTAGCCCTTAGATCTTTCATGGACTTTTATCTACCATGTCTGGTAAGACGACGGTCATTTAAAGTTTACTTGATTTATAAATAGAAAAAAGTCGCACGGTTCCATGTATATCATATCAGTATTGTTGTTGACCAAGAATTCATGAACAATCAACGTAGTGTTAACTTTTTGCAAAATAAAATCGGCAAGCTCATAAAAACACGTTTAACATTAGCGGCTACTGCAGATAAAGTAAGCAAAGAGTACAGCTGAAAACTTTCACGTGCTTCTTTTATTTCGTTTGAGCTTTCCTTTGTAAGTTCGAGTTGATTTCCAATGTACTCTGCGGTACAAAATCAGCTGGTTTCAACGGCAACTGGTTTCAACTGCAGTGAATTCTTCAAACACCTTTTGTCTAATCATAATTTACGTCTTTATGAGGGTTGTTTGGTATGTCTCACACAAGGATTGTACATATTGCTCAGGAAGCACAAAAGTTGATGGGTAATTCGTTATTTAATATAGTGTAGCAATTGCAGTAGTTCCACATAGCAGCAACATCTCAAATGGGGCCAACTTCCGATAATTTATCTCTTTAAGCATCGGAAAGGATGATTCTATGAACCACTAGTGCCCAATATTTGAAGAGCTTGAGAGACGAAGTAAAAGAAGTTTGAGCACGCTAGATCACGTCACGCTGTGCAGCTCAAAAATAATTTTATGCAGTCTTAATAGATATAACGACGAATTCGTATAAGTGCTAGCACAAGAAGATGAAGATAAACATTTCACAGTTCAGAATCAGAGGTGCTATTATTAAAAACCATGAATTTTAAGAGGAGTTCAAAGTGATATTATTAAGATATTATTCTTCACTTCTTACAATGGGGCTCGGGACGGAATATTTAATTTGTTTTATTTCCCACAGGACTACGTAACATGTTAACTGAAATAATATATCAACCAGTAATCATACAAAGCGAGTTGAACAGCCAGCGTTTAGAACTTTATACGAAACTTATGAGCGATGCCGAAAGTGCTACTAGCAGCTACTTAGTTAAGAGTGCTTATTTATAATAAAATAAGTAATGGTTAGTTTTTATCTTAAATTCAGACATGCATTTTGTATAGAAAATACGTATTTATTTTTGCACTGAATTGTTATTAAAAATAAAAACTTTAATAAAAAAATTCAAAAATATTTGAGTTTCAAATAAAGGTCATGAAAGGTAAGTAAGATTTTCATTGCTGAACTAACGTGTTTGGAAAAACATACCAAATTATTAGTATTCTTTGTACTGACGCCGTAACAGGCAAGGTGGTACGACCGCAACATACAAACTGGGATAGAAGATAAAAGAGTTTCGATTTCCTTTGGTGGTCTTTATGTTTACTCTAAAAAAATACGTGGATTATAATTAAACCCTGCCTGTAAGTTAAACTTAAAATTTTTGTATATATCTAGCTTCGACTGGAAGGATGAAGTTTTAAAAAGGTAAAAGCTCCTTTTGAACGAATTCCGTTCTTACCAAGCTATAACATGCATAAAGTTATTAGTTTTGACGAAAGTTATAAAACCCGAATTTCTTTGGACATAGTCCTTCACTAACAATCCTAGAGGAGGACTCATGGAAAATATTAATATTTTAAGCTATCAAATTTATTGTTAGAAGATTTGTATGTGAACTTAAAATTATCAAGATTGATATAGGTGTTCATAACAATTATGTAGCAATTAAAGAAGCTTTGACAAAACTTATGTAGACAAAATACACACAAGATACTAGTCCGCCCAAACTTTTGTTTTTACAGCTTATAAGAATGCTATTCACGTCGATAAACTGTACTTGAGAATATTTTATAAAGCATTAAAGAGATTGGTCGTTTTTGTACTATTACTAACTGTTTTAGCAAGTTGCGCTTTCAACTCTTTGACATGTATAAATCTGTAAATATCTTCTTTATATATTTCATTATTCACAACCTGTTAAATTTTTTCAACAACCTACTATTATTTTGTGACATATCAATAGCATTACTTATAAGCACTGTCACACAATTTCGCAGCGATTGTTGTGCATTGAGGACATGGTACAAACAGTTGAAGCCATAGCAAAGACTATTCATACTCTGACTCAAAAAATCCATATGAACCACAGTAAGTGTACCAAACAAAAAGAGAATTGTAGCTTTCCCCCTTTATTCTGCTCTAGAATCCTCCTTAAATAAGGTTAATTATCATTATCGCATAAACCAACAAAACTAAAAAAATCATAAAATGGCGGTTACTCAAAAACCAAGGTAAAGTAAGTAGCACAATGAAGTATTGGCCTGTGGTTCTGATGCCTTAGAACATTAGTACATTCCTGGCTGGAAGTTACACCTTCATTTTAAAGGTCTGTGTATTTAATTACTTACTTTGGTGGCAAGTATTGCGTGATACCAAACTGTACTGCTGCAATTTTCCTCTTAGTCTTGCCATCATTGTGAAAGTTAAATGAAGCTGATTTGCTAAACCTAAAAACTGGTCCCTCTGCCCTTAACTTTGTGTGTTATATTTTTGGTATCCAATATTTTTTGCATATTATCTTATTTTGGAAGCATCCACACCTTTTCACTTTCGGATGATCCAACCCCAATTGCTTACACTTGCGTATTCTTAAATAACTTTACTCTTATTCATCGTTTCATGTGGCTTTCGATATTCAGGATTTGCTAACTCCACTGTTTTAGACAATTGTCTCGCATGTTGTAAACAATTTGTTATTTGTTGTTGTTAAGTTCATTTGGACCAGTAAATAAGCGCTCATGTAGGCAGAAACTTAAGTTGGCATATACCAGTTTTCTCACGGTCTCCTATAAGGAATATATTACTCTTAAAGACCTATATATCATACTGAGGTATTTTACTCAGTCGCAAGTTGTGAAAGTCCAAGCTTTATCTAAGACATAAACCACATTTACTTTTAATTAAGAGTTTTTTTTCCTACGTGTGGGATTGGCAACAGGTTTAGATCTCAAAACAAACGTTTTCATTTATAAATCCATTTATCAAGCAGCAATGATATATTTAGAGAAGACTATCCGATGAAGGCAAACAAAAAGGCTTCAAAAGAATCTAATCAAACTTTGAATTCATTGGAAATAACTATTTACTCGTCGAGTATCAGCACCGAAGAGAGTATCTCTATGCACACCAACTGTTGTGGTTTTATATACAAACTTTATATTTTTATATATGAGTCTATATGCCATAATTCATTCACGTTGTTGTATGGTTTAAGAGATTTGTAATGTTGCAACAATAAAAATCACATAAATATGCATGCAACTTGCAACTTTTGTGCGCATATGTGTACTTTGACACCACTCTGTATGCTTGCCACTATCCGCTGGTTGCCTTGCAACTACGTTTTTGTTCCAATTTCTCATCCAGCGTAAGCGAGTGAATTCACATTTTTGCTGCCAAGTTTATTTTTTTGTTGTTTTGAAATAATTTCCATGCTTTGTTCGTGTCTTTGTGCGTTGCAGATTGCCCTTCTTTAGAAGATCATCCATTGTAATTGTACTCATACTTTTGCTAGGTATTGTATTTATTTGCATGACGTGCATCAACCGTAGGGTTTACGTTCAAAGTTTAAGTAAACAATTTATTCTTCTTTGGGGATTTTCGTCGGTGACTACACATTACAAATAGAGTTTTTACATATTCGTCCTTTATTTTAAAAACAAGGAAGCGTCGGAGATTCTATAATATAATGGTTCAAGGAAATGCTACTTTCTCCGCACAAATTACACATATCGGACCACTATAACATATAACTGATATATAAACTTCAAAAAAGACATTTTTTTTATTAAATAATCTTAATTCACGTGTTCATATTTGGTTGGTTGGTTAGTTGAAAAGAGAGGCGTCTGAGAGCCGGATCGTATGCGGCCCGGATGGTAACCGCTATATTTTTATATTTAGATATGATGCACCTGTAAAGGGTATCATAGCTTCGGTACATACGAAGTTAATATAAAATTTCAAATAGTTTATTTTCAAAAGTACTTTAATCAGGATATTACAATTTTCCTTACAGAGAACAAAAATGTGTTGTCACAAATCAGTGTAGAAATCATACCATATTTATTGCTTGCAGACGAAGAGCTTCAAGCGAAGTATAGAAGTAAGCTTGCCATCCGGCGTCACCACGTTAAAAGTGAAAATATGAATACTTAAGAGTTTATGTTAATAACTTTTGTAGTTTCAACGCTTGAGATTATGCTTTCGTGTGTGTAAGATTTTTTAGTATTGTGGAAATATTAAGCTAGAAAACTCACACTTATTAATCATAATTTTGGTACTATGATGCCTTAGTAGTGTTTTGTTTGGTTAATTATACCTTTACTGAAATATCACCTCATTCACGCAGAATAATTTATAATTATATATCTATATATCTTTTGGCGCCTTACTATACTGGTTTTAGTATCATCGCTTTCATAGTTTCCATTTTCTCCTCTGAAACTCAACATTTCTTCAATCTCAGCGTTATTATCGCTAACCTCTTCACCTCCTTCTTATACTCTTTACTTTAAAAGTTATATTATTATTGCTTCATCTTGTAGCGACAATTTTATTGATTTTGCTGGTGTTGATAGTTTAGTTTGGTTGCTCAACTTCTTTTGGGTTGTCTTTCTTGTCTGCTTGGCTCAGTTAGTTTCAGGTGTTTTAGTTAATTGTTATGAGTTTGTTTCTTATTTATTTTGCTGTTAGTTATAGTGTTGCTATTTTGGTTGGGGCTGAGATAATTTTGCTACAAACATAGCAACCACAAACACCAATTAAACAGGTTTAATTTGTACATAATTATTTAAAAACAGATTTTGATGCAATTTTTAAATGCTTTATAGCCGTATTGGATGCTACTCAACGATTTCTGTCGAATATAAAGTCAGTTCTTGAGAAACCATACTAAACACCCTCTTTCAACAAAGCATGATATTAATTTACTTATGGATAAAAAGATTTTATAACACTGACGTTCATTTGGGAGAACTTCTCCACACGTCGTGCTTAAAAGTAAATAGCAGCTGAACAGTTCCGGTCGCTTTCAGTGATTTTGTGCTAATTTTCGAAAGTTTTTCTAACAATATAGATAAGCTACGACCAGCTTATACAACTAACTGTTCGAGATTCGGGTCCGTTTCGGTTACTTAGTCCCGACTATATAAAGATAGCGCTATTCATTATACCTCTCCTCAAGAATGTTACTCATGAGATAACAGCTAAGTAATCGAATGGTTTACTGTTTATGTTTTCTATAAAACGAATTTGAAGTCGCAATCTTTTAGCTATTTATTTTACTTATTATTTGCCTTATGTAGAGATTCATTTGATCGCGACAACTCTGTGGCACAATTTACCATAATAACTTATTAATGCAACTGAAAAACAACACGTTCATAAGAAAACAAATCAACAAAAAAAAAATTGTTCTTATATTTTTAAACTTTAGACTTAAAATCGACAGTAATTTGAACAAAACAAAAATAAAGGGTTAAACTTTTTTTAACAGCAGTGCTTGTTTATTTTAGCATGTGGTATGGTTTTTTGGATTCGCTTAAGAGTAAAGCTTGGCTTCGCATGTGTGAAGTTTTTAATTTCTCGCACTACCAGTTAGTGTGTCGAAGCTTAATAACGAAATATGAAGTGATCTAGTAAGCAGAATAATTTATATATATTTTGGTGTACTAGAAGTATGTATATGTACACACATTTAGCTTCTTATTCTAATATAGAGTAAATACTTACTTACTTTCTTATCTCTTTAAAACGCTACTCATTTGTAGAAACCGCCGATAACGATAAAGTAAACTTTTTAATTTTACGTGGTTCATTAACGACATTGGGCACAGATTATTTGCCAAGTCTACGCTATAATCTAAAAACAAATTGCTCAGAACGGACAACTATAGCATGTAGCTGCAATTCAAACTGACCTATTATAATAATGTTCTTGTATTTATTTAGATATGTGTAAATTCTATTTCATGATTTAAATTTTTTTTCTCAAAACAACTTAAACTTGAATATATAAAGTGTGTATCTTCTAAGCACTACAA